CCACCCACCCATCAAATTGTACAATCCAATGATTAATCACCCATTCACCCTGCCCATCCACATCCTTCTGCTTCCAGCTCTCCCACCCCTCCAGAATCTTTATACTGATTCTACAATAATTGTTTTATTCAATATTTATCCCTGTGGGACTGAAGTAGTTCACTCAGCATAATTCTTTCCAGTCCCTCCCTATAGTTAGATAATAATTTACAAAGTTACTATTCCTGCCTGCTGCATAGTATTCCACTGTGTGAGTGTACCATACTTTCTCAATCCACTTGTTTGTGGTTAGACATTTGAGCTGATTCCATGTTCTTGCAAAGGTGAATAATTCTGCTATGAACATTGGTGTACAAATCTCAGTTTGTGCCTCAGTTCTCATATTATCAGGGTGTATTCCAAGTAGTGGAATCATGGAATTTTTATGTTGAACTTTTTGAGGAAGCGCCAAACTGCCTTCCAGATTGGTTGTACCATTTTATAATACCATCAGCAATGTATAAGAGTTCCTTTCTCGCCACATCCTCTCCAACATCTATTACTTGCTGTCCTGTTAAATTATGCCACTGTTACTGGATTTATTGAACTCCTCCCACAGAACAGCTCTTCCTCTCCCCTACTGTGGTGCTTAACCTCAAGCAGAGGGGGCCAAGTGGAGCACCCTGAGCTTGGCCCAGGTTCCTTTCTATTGTTAGATGTTTTTGCATTGGCTTCAGGGTCTCATGGGCTCCCTTCGTCCATCATGTCCATATTCTTTTTTGGAAGATGGTCTTCACTTTCAGTAGGGGAAATATTCAGGTCACTGTAGATGCTAGAGATTCTCATTGACTTTGTTGGCTGCCAAGATGTCCGCCTGAATGCTGTCCATTTTCATGTACAGTTCCTTGGTATTGGTCAGGAAAAGCTTGTAAAGCTCCTCCCCCGTGCTTTTGCACACATGCTCTTCTACCACGGGAGACATCCCCACAAAGAACTGCAGCCCAGCGGGCAGGGGTGTGGTGTGTCCTCTTCGTGATTTTGATTTTCATCTCTCTTATTGCCAGTAATTTGGAGCACTTCTTCATATGTCTATTTGCTATTTGAATATCTTCTTCTGTGAAAGTTCTTTCCATGTTTTTTACCCATTTTGTAATTGAGTAATTAATCTTTTTCTTGTGGAGAGCCAGGAGTATTTTTAAAACTTTGTTATAACACTCTAGTCTCAGAAGGTATTATCAAATGTTTGCTGCCAGTCTGCAGGTTTTCTTTTCACCCTGGGAGCAAAAGTTTTGGATGTACACATGGATTTAATTATTAGAAGGTGCCATGCAACAATTTTATCTTCATTAGATTGTGCATTTCTGGTTGTATTTGGCAGTCTTTTTATACCTTGGACTAGTGCTTCTAAGTTTGATCCCACTTTGTCTCTTATGAATGTTATGGTTTGGGGCTTTACTCCCAGATCTCTGATTTACCTTGAGTTGATTTTTTGTGTATGGTGTGAGATGTGGATCCTGTTTCAGCTTTCATTAGGTGGAAATCCAGTTTTGCCAGAATAATTTGTTGAAACTTTGATTTGCTTGTCTAATATAGCTGGGTTTATTTCTGGGTTCTCATTTGGGTTTTGTTGGTTATTTTTTAAGAATTACTCTTATATTATGTGCACCCAGGTTTATTGCGGTCTTGTTCACAATAGCAAAGAGTTGGAAACAACCCAAGTGCCCATCAGCAAACAAGTGGATAGAGAAGCGGTGATGTACTCACACAGTGGAATACCATGCAGCACTGAAAAGCAAAGAACGCATGAAATATTATACAAAATGGGTGACCATGGAGGACATTATGCTGAGTGAAATATCTTAGTCACAAAAGGACAAATATTTCATAATGCCACTGTTATAAAACAGGACTGACATGGGTGTTGGGGGGAAACTAAGAAAAGAGGGGATAAATAATGTACATGGCATTGAAACAGATGAGGGAGAGAACTGTATAAAAGGAGTATATGATTAGGTATTATTGGCATGACAAGAGTACAGAATAAGAGCTACATAGTAAAGTGGTCAGGGGGAGGGGGGCTACTGTATCACAACGAAAGAACTTTTTTTTTAAAAAAAAAAAAAAAAAAAAGAGGGAGTTTTGTGGCCTAGTGGCAAGAAGCTGTACTACAATCCCAGAGGTACATGGTTCAAATCCACCAGATGCTCTGCCGGGGAAGGAGGGGAAATTTCTCTCCTATACCAGTCAGATCTGATTTGACGGTACACGCACAATAAATAAATTTAAAAAAAAAAAAAAGACGAGCTGGAGATGGAGGTCAAGGAGGAATATGTTCCACAATGAATGAATGGAAATCTAAGTTATGAACTTTCATTAAAATCTCAATTTAAAAAAGAATTACTTGCAAATAGAGATACTATTTGACCCAGCAATTCCACTACTGGGAATATATCCCAAAGAGACCATAACTGACATCCAAGCAGATATATGCACACCCATGTTTATCGCAGCTCTGTTCACAGTAGCAAGGAGGTGGAAACAACCCAGGTGCCCATCAACAAACGAATGGATAGAGAAGCTCTGGTATAGTCACACAGTGGAATACTACGCTGCATTGAAAAACAAGGAACTCATTCAATATTATTCAAAATGGGTGAGCCTGGAGGACATTATGCTGAGTGAAATATCTCAGTCGCAAAAGGACAAATATTGCATGGTGCCACTGCTGTAAAATGGGACTGATATCAGGGTGGGGGTAAGACTGAGAAAAACTGGATAAATTGTGTATACTGCACTGAAACAGATGAGGGACTGAAGCATTTAAAAGCGATGTATGATAGGGTATTATGGTTATCACAAGAGTCCACAATTAAGGTTGCATAGTGGAATGTACTTGGGGCGGTGGGAGGGGTGCGGGGGGATTGTGTACCAGGGAGGGAGTCTTTCTTTCACTTTTGAAAGAGAGGAGCGAACTGGGAGGCGGGAGGAGAGGGCTGGGCGGGTAGAGAAGTGCAGCAATGAATGAATGGAAATCCAAATTCTCTGTAAATGTCCATTAAAATTATTTTTTTAAAAAAGAATTACTTTTATATTGCTGATTTGCCTTTATTGTGGCTTCCCTGTTAGGCCTATTCTCCCCACCCCAATTCATTAAAAATGTGTTTTATTCATGTTGTTTTTATGTGCCATCGAGTTGCCTGCAACTCATAGTGACCCTTTGTACAACAACCCTAAACCCTGCTCTATCCTGTGCCAATCTCACTCGCTCCGACACACCTACCTCAATTATTCCAGTCACTGAATCAATCCACCTCATAGAGGGCCTTTCCCTCCTGCGCTGTCCCACCACCCTCCCAAGCATGACGTCCTTCTCTAAGGAATGGTCCCCTCTTGCAGCACGTCCAAAGTATGTCAGATGAAGCTTCAGAATCTTTGCCTCCAAGGAGAGCCTTGTTTAACCCTCTCTAAGATGAACCTGTTTGTTTTCTTAGCAGTATATTCAATACTTTTCTCTAACATGAAAGGCATCAAACCATTAACGCTCAAAGGCATCAATTCTCATTCTATCCTCCCTAGTCATTGTCCAGATCTCTGACACATAGCAAGTGATTGCAAAGATCAGGCGTACCTCACAAATTCTATGCGTGCATTTATCTCAAATATCTCTTAATTTTTTTTAAGAAAAATTTAATGAGAAAAGTAGCTTTATGTCATTAAAGATTTTTTTAAAAATTTCTTTTGTCTTGATTTGCTTACAGAGTTTGTATACATTGTGTTTCATACACTTATATCCATTCATTATGTTTTATAAAATTACACCATTGAACTATGCTTACCATTAGCCTGTCTTTCCAGATCTCCACCAGGTCTTTCCATTTTCCTTTATCCCACCCCCCCCAACAAAATGTGTGACCCTATTATTTCCCCCCTGCCCATCCTCCCCCTCTACTTCTCTTTTCCCCTCTTTGGATCCTTATACACATTTTACTAGTTATCTTTCTCTTCAATAATGGTCTTATGCAGTATTTGTCCTTAGGAGACTGACTTAGTTCACTCAGCATAATGCTCACTAGTCTCACCTAAGTTATGTAGTAATTTTAGAGATCGTTGCACCTGAGTGCTGCATACTATTCCATCATGTGAGTGTACCAAAATTTCTCAGTTCATTTGAATGTGGTTGGACATTTGGGCTGTTTTCATGTTCTTGAGATGATGAACTAAAGAACCATTTATTGATCATTCTTTAAAATCTTTTGTTAAAAAAACTACAAAACAAAACAAAACAAAATAAAAAAACCCAGAAGTCAGAAACAGATTAAAACACATTATGGGTTTATTTATCATTCTAGTATTTGGAAATTTTTTTGTTGTTGTAGTTTGTGGGTTTTTTTTGTTTGTTTGTTTTAAGTATGGAACATTTCACAAGTTTATGTGTCATCTGCTGCATTAATCTTCTCTATATCATTCCCATTCTTCTCAGAGTCAGCCACAGTTTGTTATGATCCACGCAGTCAAATGCCTTTGCATAATCAATGAAACACAGATAGACA